CCCCCCTGTTAACTAAGTGTGCCTGGTGCATGCAGATTCTCAAGGGTTAGGTCTGCAGAGTAAGTCAGAAACAAGCCCTTTCGTGACGGCGGGGGGGGGGGTGGACGCAGGTCAGCGTAATCATCCATCCTTCCGCCCGACAGCACCTTTCCGCAGAGCTTCGAGTCGACTATTGACATCGAGCAGCTCCCCATTCAGTCTCCACCGCACACGGAACCCCTCGACTCCTTCAATTGTGCTGGCGAGAATCAATCGCCTTTCGAGTAACTCCGATTCCGCCTTGAGAGCGTCGTCTCGCTCTTTCACCTTTTCCAGGGGCATCACAGATCCGAGCGTTTTTTCCCCGTCCATCAAACGCTTGCGAATCAACTCGTCCCGTTCCTGCGTGCACCTCTTGACTAAAATAAGCTCATCTTGACAGAAGGGCTCCACATCATTCTTGTATAGGCACTGAAACAGACGCCTCACTTCCGTAGTGCACGTGTCCAGACCTTCAACCACGTACGGCGAGAGCTCCGCAGGAACCAACGGAGATGGCGCTCCTGTCATCAGGTCATCACCCGTAAGAATGGCCTCCTCGGCCATCACTCCCGCAGCAATATGCCTTAAGAAGCACGGTTCGATTACTGCAGTGACAATAAACTTGGCGATTAATGGGGCGGAACTTGGCGATCAATGATGGGGTTTAGGGGCTGTCTCTTATACACATCTAGATGTGTATAAGAGACAGGTATGGTTAAAATGACCCTTTGGTTTTCTTATAAATGAGGCTGAAAATTGGAGGGTCGGTTAACCTTCTCTCTCAAGTATCACTTATATAGTCAATCGGATAGACATTCATTAGAGAATGATTAAGGGACAGGCCCCGGTCGGGCGAGGCAGGAGCAGAGGGTAGGGTTGCACTGGTGCCCCTCTGGGCCCCTGTGCCCCCGTGCTAGTCATGGCCCACCTGAGGCTGAAGCTCTGGCATCCAGACACACACTCACGCACATCAGGGTTATGGAACACCGGACCTGGTTTCCAGCAGTTTGGTCCTCAGCCGTTTGTTCAGAAATGCCTTGCTCCCTCAAAGCCGAAGACGGAGAATATCCCTGGTAGCTCAATTCTTTAGTATACTTCCACATGGGACGCTGCACCCATTTCCCAGCACGTGCTGCTCCCCACACATAGATCGGAGCCATTTGCTTGTTAAAAAAAAGAAGAAGGGGAAATGGTTAAGCATGGAAGTGATACCACCCCCCTCTAGTAGGGACCACAGCCATTTTCAAAAAAAAAAAAAAAAAAAAAGGGAACTGCTGCACCACAAAGTATGTGGGGTAACATTTTTTTTTTTGAACAAGTGCTCCAGAGTCCTATTATGGTATGAATGACACATCTTATGATCAGAGTGGTTGTACCGCATCTATCAGCGGAGTTTTCTTTACGTACAGACAATATGGGTTAGGGTACATGCACACACACGCACTCTCGCATGCAGAAGGGCACATGCACTTCTCTCTCTCTCTCTCTCTCATGCACACACACACACACACACACCACTTTTTCTTCTGGCACGTCGTGATATGCACACACACGCACTCACACATGCAGACGGGCACATGCATACCTTTCTCTCTCTCTCACACGTGCGCGCGCGCGCGCACACACACACACACACACACACACACACACACACACACACACACACACCATTCTTTCTTCTGGTACGTCGTGGACATGAGATGCTGTGGGATAATTGCCAGGACGTGATCAGCGAGACCAATCCGCTACAAGATTGGTACGAGGTCTTCCCTCTTATGACAACGGTGAAAATTGTATGTGCCAGGACATACAGGAAACCATGCCATGAAGCAGCAACGGCATCAGAATTGCACTCCCCAGTCCCTACTCAATTCAACACTGAAGTACCCGGTCAAAAAAAAAAAAAAAAAAAAAAAAAGAAAGGGAAAAAAAAAACACTGAAGTACCAGGGTGAATTGAAAGATGATGAAAGATCTGAAAAAAAAAATAAAAAAAAAAAAAAAAAAAAAAAAAGGGTGCACACTGCACAGGGAATTCACAGCTTTGTGAGAGATGGTTAACAGATTTTCAATCTTTGTTTTTTTTTTTCTTATGGCTCTCATAAGTTATAACCAGCCCCCAAGAGCATCACAGCTTTAAAGTTTAAACTAACACGGAGCGGGAAAAGGGAAATTTCAAAATTCTGAGAAAGAAGTTGAAAGAACCAGAAAAACTCGAACGGGAAAACGCCTCTCCAAAGAGTCTCCATGAAAAATTTGCCTTCACCATCTTTTCTCACTACTTTCAGGGAATCAATGAATCGTCACAAAAGAAATCATTTCTAAATTCTAACTCAGTAAACGCCCAACTTCACGGACACAAACCTTGACCAAAAAAAAAAAAAAAAAAAAAAA